GGCGGCGGCGGCGGCTACTCCCTCTTTCCCTCCCTCCCTTTCTGTCCGTCCATCCGTCTGTGCGTCTGTCCGTTCGGCCTCGGTCCGGCGCTCAGCATGGCCGGCGTCAGCTTCAGCGGCCACCGCCTGGAGCTGCTGGCGGCGTACGAGGAGGTGATTCGGGAGGAAAGCGCGGCCGACTGGTGAGCCCCCCGCCCCCGCCCCCCGGCCCCTTTGTCCCCGCGCCGCCGCCGCCGCGCCTTTGTTCCCAGCCGGCCCGCCGCCCGACAGCCGGGAAGGGAGGGGGAGACCCCGAAATGGTGCGTCGGGCCGGGAGGGCCAGGGAGGGGCTGCCTTTGTGCGCGCCGGGGGGAGGGGCCGGGCGGGCCCGGCGGACGCTGCTGAGCCCCGAGCGCCCCGAGTGGCCCCAGTCAGGCGGTGGGAGCGGTGACCGGATGCAGGTTGGATGCACGCAGGGTCCAGATGTGTGGCCCAGGGCCGCATGGCCCTGCGGGAGCCCATCCCCAATCCCTACCCTCCCCCCGGGCCCGGGGGACAGGTGTGCGCGGGGCAGCCAAGGGCACCTTTTCCACCTTCGAGCTGGCGAGGACCGGGCGGGGATAGGGCGGGGACCGAGGTAGCGGAGTCAGCGCAGCCTGCCCGGCCAAGCTCTGCCCGGCCGCAGCACAAAGGAAAGCTCGGGCGGGGGAGGAGCGGAGCGGGCCAGGGGCTGGGGCGCCCCGCCCACTGGGGGGCCGCTTGTTGTTGACCGCCCCCGCCCTCCCTCCCACCCGGAGCTGGGAGGTGATGGAAGGACGTTCTTTGCCACATGGCAATCTCAAAGTGATCCTTTTCACCTCCTGGATCACAGGAGGCAAGAGTGAGCCCTCGTCTCCACGACCTGGAGGGGATTGCAGGGACTAGGCCCTTGGGTTGGAGGAATGCAGGGGGACAGGAGCTGCCTGACTAGGGGGCCAGCTGGGATCCCTGGGAGAAAGCCTTCAGGCGCGAAAGTACAGAGGTGGGCCCCATTCAGTTGGTCCCGTTAGTTAGCCCCTTTGCCCATCAGCTACAAGGGGCGCTCTGCTCCCCAGTGAGGGAAGGGCTGGGCTGCTGCTCTCCACCTCCCGGAGCTGTTGTCTGCCTCTTAGCTGGGGGAGGGGGTGGATAACCTGCTCTGGGGCTGCAGCCCCCAGAGTGGACAAAAAGCCAAGGGATTCCACACTTCCGCATGCAGGAAACAGCCCCCCAGAATACTTTTCTTGGGGCAGGTGCCCATTCTGTTCCCTCCCTCTCTTCCTGCTGTCAGGCAGAAAACAGGCTTCTCTCCCCAAGGAAACTGAGGCACAGAGTAAGCACAGGCCTGAGGGGCCCCACTTGGGCTGGCCTCACCCTCATGATGGAAGGGCAGCCAGATAGGGCCACTGACCTGGGGGGCTGGAGGAGGGGATGAAATGGCCAGGCATCCATGCCACGGCACTGCAGCACTGGCGGGAGGCCAGGCCCGGAGGGATGGATGAGGGAGACAAGCTCTTATGTTCTGCAGGTCAGCCACAGGAGAGGCCAGCATAGGCTGAGAAGGCAGGCGGCCCACCGATTGTCCCAGCCCTGCCCCTGGGGGGCTGATGTCATGGGAGGAGTTCAGGGCAAAGGCCCTGCTTGGTCTGATGGAAGAACTGGCCTCAGGATATGGGCCCTGCCTGTTAATCCCTGCCTGGGGAGAGGCACAGCCCACCTCAGAGCACCCCTCATGCCCTCCAGTCTAGGGGACCTTGTCTACCACCACCCATCCCATTTTCCCCTAACCCTCTACGAGCAGAGCTCCAACAGCCCGGTGCCGGGGCCACACAATCACTGCTGCCCCACATCCTGCTCAGTAGAGGCCTGTCTCCCACCACCCAGCAACACCCATGTGGCCACAGCGATTTATTCATCACTGGTGTGCGTCACCTCCCATCTGGGTTGTGTGTAGGACACGCACACACAGATGCACACACGCTCCCTCACACATACACACATTTGTTCACTCCCAAGGGCCTAGTTAACATTTTGCAAAAAAGAGTGTGAGGGCTGTATCCTGGGGGGTGGGGGCAGGTTAGAAGTGTTCCCACCCCCATGCTCAACCACAGCCAGGGTATGGTGGTCTCAAGACTCAGGGCAGACCTGCTCTCAGAAGCCAGGAAAAGTAGGAAAGAGATGTCTTGGGTAAAACTGTTGCCTGGGCAAAGGGGGTTGGCACTGCCCTCCCTCACCTGGCTTCTGAGTGTGTGTGTGGCAGGGTTTCTGAAACGGGCCACTGAGCCCTGGCTTAGGAGTAGAGGCCAAGGAGGTCAGATCGTGTGTTGCAAAAGGCCAGTGTTGTCGTGACTCTGACCAGGTACAAGTCCCTGCCCCTTCTGGTCCTGTGTTCACCTGTGAAATCAAAGGAAGGGATTGGGCTAACCAAATTTAGGAAACCTACGGCCGTTCCAGCTCGAACATTCTTCGTGTGTGACTAGACTCAACCCTCCAGCCCCAGCTGAGCACAAGATTGCCCTGGCGCTGCCCATTCCAGCTGGTGCCTCACCCTAGTCCAGGTTCTCTGGCCTAGGTGGTTTCTAAGAGTTTGTGCCAATATCACAAATACCTACTGGTGCTTCTCTGTGCTGGGCCCTAGGACCCAGAACGGTATGTGTTAAGTGTTAAGAGTCAGAGGGCTTGCCTCCATGAAGCTAACCATCTGGGCAATGTCTGCTGGGCCCAGAGCTGGTGAGATATGTAGATTCTGATTCCCTGTGGGGTTCACCAGCTCCTACCCCACAGGATTGTGGGGTCTAGGGTGGGTTCAGATGCCTCTAAATCCCTGGTGGGGTATGGGAAGTACTCTGGGGAGGCCGACTCAGCAAGACTTCCTAGGGAGCTGCCATTGAGGCCATGAAGGGTTTCCACAGTGGGCGTGGGGGTTGAGAAGCAAGTCTGGCCTTCCATGTGAAGGGCACTCCATATGCAAAGACTAGCAGGGTGGGAGATATCAGGGCATCACCGAATGTGATCCAAGTATGTAGTATGTACAGGAGTCCAGGGTGGAAGGCAGGCTGATGCCAAGCTCAGAGTGGAAGACAGAGGAAGGGGTTGAACTTAGGTATGGATTCAGAAAGGAGAAGAATGTGGCTGTAGCAGAAAAAGGTGTGTGAATGAGGAGGTGGGGAGGCTTGGAAGGGACTGAGGTTGGAGGAGCCTGGGGCAGGGCAGGATTTCCTGGGAGGAGCAGGGAACCTCAAGGAGCCTTGGAGAGGTCTGGACACCACCTCCAAAAGAAGTATGATGCTTAGAGCAGTGTCTGGGAACCAGAATCCTTTGGTTCTGCCTCAGTGTCTCATCTGTGGGATGGAGTGGGGCAGACCCTGCTTCTCTGAGGGCCCTTTGTTCCCAGTGGTGGGTCAGGGCAGAGGACAGGTGGTGGGACAGCTGTGCTGGGAAGCAGCTGCCAGGGCTTGACAGGGAGGGGGAACAACAGTTGGACCAGGAACTCAGCCCCATAGCCCACCTGTGTCCCTTTTATGAGGGAGGGTCCTGGGAAGAGGAGGGGCTGGGAGGCCATTTGGCCCTGGCAACAACTTGTGCTGATCTCATGGGGCTAGATCCTTCCTCCTTCCTCCCCTCTCTCCTCCCCTCTCCTTCCCTCTCTCCTCCCCTCTCTCCTCCCCTCTCTCTTCACTTCCTTGTCATCCTTCACTTCCCCCCTTTCTCTTGTTTTATTCTCTCTTCTTTCTCTTCTCCCTGTTTCTCCCTCTGCCTCTCCTCACTCCCCTCTTCTCCTCTATGTCCCTGGAGCTCCTGCTTCACCCCCACCCCCACCTCCTGCCTCGGCAGTGGGGAAACAGTGGTAAGCCTTTCTGAACCACAGGGATAAGGCCCTTTCTTCTTCCTCACTCCAGGCCTCTCCTTCCACTGAGCAGATGGGAGGTACCTCTGCATTCCCCTGTGTGAAATGGATGCTCTGCCCCAGCCACCTGGGGAGAACAAGCCAGGGCAGAAAAAGCTCTGGAGAAGGAGGGTGGGGCACGAATGCTGGCTCAGCTTTCTGGCTAAGCTAGGGCGGAAAGGCTGCCAGTCCCAGGAGGCCAGGGCCCGGGCTAGGGTGGAGGCGGCCTTGGGGCTGGAAGGCTGGGAGAGTGCAGCCATCCCAGAGCCAGAGTCTGGGCAAGAGTGACGGCAGTGACCTCATCGCCATTTCTGAGAGGAGGAGACAGAGGCTGAAGGCTGGTCTCTAGAGTCCTTTGTGTTCGAGGAGAATGCACTTGGGTAGGCTGCTAGTGTGCCAATTGCCGGGTTACCATGGTTACTGGGGGATGCCCAGAGCTGTTAGAGCACCAGGTTCTCTCTCTCTCCTCCCCCTCCCTCCCTGCAGGGGGGGGCGGTACCAAGGCACGCGCCAGGTAGGCTCCTGGTGCTGGCCAATGGGGGCTGAGGAGCTTGGTAGTCAGGGAACAGTAACCAAGGTAACCAAGGAACCCTTGCCTTGGAAGCCTCATCGCACCCGCTCTGCTCCGTGGAAGGCAGCCGGTGCTAAGCTCAAGCAGGCGGTGGCAGTAATTTCTGCCCCTATCCCCTACTCCCCACCTGACCCAGGCCTTCATCCACGGGGCTCACAGTCTGTCCGCTGCTGGACTCCAGTCAGAAACGGGTGGGGTGCCATGACAGCACTGCCCCAGCTGGTCTGGAACGCCCTCCTGTCCTGGCCCCTCCATTTCCCTCCCCTTAACCTTCCCCAGAGCCATCTCCACCCAAAATTGGCCGCCTGGGTTCTGAAAATTCTTCCAGCCGCCCCTCCCTCTCCCCAGGGCTCTGTACACATATGAGGATGGCTCAGATGACCTCAAGCTTGCAGCATCAGGAGGTAAGAATTCCAGCCATTCCTTCTCCTTTCTTTCCGCCCCCTCCTCCTGTTCTTTTCTTCCCCACCAGCCTGGCTCTGGGCCACCTTCCTGCCTGCATCCGACAGCCCCATACTTATCTGGCGGGTGTCCTTCCTCTGGTCACCCCTGTCATCCCCAGAGGGTGGGGAGGGAGGGAGACTTGTTTTCCCGATTGACTAACTGAGGAGGACACCAGAGCACTTTCAGAGAAGGAAAGTGACTTGCCCAAATTCGCACAGCTAGAAGGAAAGGGCCTAGCAGGGATGGGCATGAATCAGCCCCACTGTCTGCATTTCACACACTGAGGCTTCATTTCACACTGTTGGGGTTGGGCACCAGCACCTCAGAAACATGAAATGATGTGTGAAGAGGGCTAGAGCAAGAAAACGCTTCTTAATCCTATCCCAGATCAGGCTCCAGGGGGTTCAAAGACAAAGCTAGACCCTGCCTGCCACCCCCTTCAACCACACAAAACTGTGGAGCCTCCACATCTTGGAAGCCAGGAAGCCCCTGGGGGGAGGCTGCTGAGCCCGGGAGAATTCTCTCCTGCGGGGTCCAGGCCCTTCATGGGGGAGGGGGGTAAGGGTTTAGGAGACGAGTCCTGACACCCTCCTGACTCCCCCAGAAGGGGGCTTGCAGGAGCTCTCAGGCCACTTCGAGAACCAGAAGGTGATGTACGGCTTCTGCAGCGTCAAGGACTCTCAGGCTGCTCTGCCAAAATATGTGCTCATCAACTGGGTACGCAGCTGCGGACTGGGGAAGGGTGCTGAAGGCCCCAGAACAGCCAACCTTCACCCCACCCCTCTGCCCACTGACGCTGGGAGAGACTCCCACTAGCCCTGGGGAGGATGGCCCAGGGGCCTCAGCCTGCTGCCTCCTCTCCCGACCTCCTCTTCACTGGGTATCTTGCAGGTTGGCGAAGATGTGCCTGATGCCCGCAAGTGTGCTTGTGCCAGCCACGTGGCTAAGGTGGCTGAGTTCTTCCAGGTGGGTGTGGGGCCAGGCCCCATGGGGACAGGGACAGCCACCCAGGGTGGATTCTCTATGCTAGGGGTGGTGACGGAGGCCACAGTGCTGCCTGAACACTGCCTTCTTGCCAAAGGGCGTCGACGTAATCGTGAATGCCAGCAGTGTGGAAGACATAGATGCAGGTGCCATCGGGCAGCGGCTCTCCAACGGGCTGGCGCGGCTCTCCAGCCCAGTACTGCACCGCCTACGGCTGCGAGAAGATGAGAACACTGAGCCTGTGGTCAGTGTGGGCCTGCGCTGGCTGGTCCTGCCCTGGGGCTTGTGTTTGGCCCTCCCTCATCCTCTGTAGTGCCCTCATTCATGGGGGTTCCCAGAGCACCAGCCTACTCACCACACTTATGCCCCATAACTTGACCCTACAGGGCACCACCTATCAGAAGACAGACGCAGCCGTGGAGATGAAGCGGATTAACCGCGAGCAGTTCTGGGAGCAGGCCAAGGTGTGGACCCTGACCCCGCCCTTCAGGCTGAGCTGTCCTTCCTGACCCCTTGGGGTCGCTGGGGCTTCTCTCCCAAGGGACCTGTCTCTCGGCTCCTCATTTCAACAGTGTGCCCCAGACCACATGCTCCCTCATCTCAAAGAGAGAGCCTTTTTGGCCTTGTGCCCATAGGACCCATCCCCAGAATTCTCAGAACCGGTACCTCTGCAGCCCAGGGTTTGGGGTGGGATGGAGGGCCGGGCTTCTAGGCCCCCGGCTCAGGGCCTGCACTTCCTTGGTGTGGGGGTTGCAGAAGGAGGAGGAGCTGAGGAAGGAGGAGGAGAGGAAGAAGGCCCTGGATGAGAGGCTCAGGTTTGAGCAGGAACGGATGGAGCAGGAGCGGCAGGAGCAGGAGGAGCGGGAACGCCGCTACCGGGAGCGGGAGCAGCAGATTGAAGAGCACAGGTGCGGCCCCGCCTGCCCCGGCAGCCTAGCCCCAGTGCCCCATGTGCCTGCCCTGAGTGCACCTGCTGGCTTCTCATTCCAGGAGGAAACAGCAGACTCTAGAAGCAGAAGAGGCCAAGAGGCGGTTGAAGGAGCAGTCAATCTTTGTAAGTTCTGAGCCAGGGCTCCGAGGATCTTGGCCAGGCAGTGACACTGCTCCCTGTGCCTGGGCCTCGTGGGGAGATCAGGGCTTGGGGACAGTACTGGGTGTGTGCTCTGGGGACCTCTGTACAGGCCTGGGGGGCACCTTGGAGGGTCAGGCCTGGCACTCAGTCATGTGGGCTTCTTGCTTCTGGCTGTGGATCGAGACCTTGGAGAAGCTTATATTCAAGATTGGAAGAGAAAATGCCCCTGTGACCCAGGCACTCCCTCCCGAGTAGGCCCTGCAGGGCTCAGGGTAAATCAGACTTTGTTCCTGCACCGAGAGGGCTCAAGAACCGGCCCTTACACAAGAGTGGTGTGGAGTCACGTGAATGAGCTAGACCTGTGCTTTCAGTGTCTCCTTGTTCCAGGGGTGCCACTGAAACACCAAACATTGGTTGCCACACATGAAGCGAGAATAATATAGTGAGCCCCCTGAACTGATCACTTATTTTTACCAGTTATCAGGATTTCTGGCAAAGCCTTAAGGAGCTCACATCATTGTGTTACAGTCTCACCTGGTCCTTCATGTGTAGCTTATGTGACAGGGACAGTGGATGTGTTAGCAGGTCAGTGTGGTAGCCCTGTAACTTCAGGCCTTCTAAGGAAGGTCCTATATGAGAATCTTTGGAATTTAGCACCACAAAATGCTTTCTCTTAGTTTAAGGAGCTGTTGTCTTTCTCTCCCTTTATAACAAGATTTATATTCTTTATTTTAGCTCCCTTTTTGCCTGGGCTGCCAGGGAGCTCCCATGTATCTGAAGATGCTCAGGCCCAGTAATGCCTTTGGCCCTCATGGTTAAAGTATATGATCTCTCTCTCCTTCACACAGCTCTAATTTGTTGTTTCAGTGTTATCCGCACTGTTGGTAGTTAACACTTTCGCGATTAAGCTGCCTGTGGTCCTTATTTTTGAACTAGGCAGAAGAACCTAGTGAGATCACACTAGGCAGGGGTCAGAGAACAAGCAAGGTTTAGCCATTCATTTATGGGAAGGCAGGGAGTCTGGCCTGGCTGGAGCCCAGTGGGCTGAGGAGCAGGGGGAAGTCAATTGGAAGGGAGAGCAGGGTCAGGGGAGGCATTTAGACTTCATTCTGGAGGACACACGAAGTTATCATTGGAGTGACAGCCCTCTTGCAGGGCAATACGTTGAAGGGCCATTCCCTTTATGCACCTTGACCAGTGTTTTAGTTCTAGATTCTGTGTTCAAAAACAAGCTCTGCTCCTTCACCACCTCATCTAGAGCTTTTCTCTCCCCACCAATCCCTTCTGCCCGATTTGCCACGTGAGCAGCAGGGGGCGCCAATGAACAGGTTTTTGGTGTAGTGAGTTCAACTGAGCAAACATGAACCAATTTCATCCTTGTGCTGGCCACTCACACACAGGCCCAAGTCCATGTCCTATGTCATTCATGGGGGCATGGGAGAGATGACCCTAGAAACAGGAAATTATGATACAGTGTAATTCATATATGCCAGAACACCTGTTGGGGACCTAAAGAAGAGAATGACCTGACTGTGCCAGGGACCTTCCCCACCCCCAGGAAGCAGTGGCCAAGCTGGGGCTGGAAATGGGAGGAGTCAGACCTGGGGGATAGAGATTCATCTCCCATGCCAAGGCACAGAGGTGGGAAACTGCATGTTCCAGGAACTGACTACTTTGTGGCTGAGAACTTTGTCTGCACCTCATGGCAGGGGTAGGGGGCGAGTGCGGTTGGGGTTTGGAGAGGGGGTGGGGCAAGATCAGCGAGGGGCCTTGATCACCTGGGGGATTACAGTCTCAGGACACAATGTGTGACTAGGTATAGTACAGGTATAGAACAGCAGGGAGTGGTGGGGACTGCGGCAAGCTGGACAGCACACGTCCAGGTGAGGGGTAGGTACAGCATGGCTCTGGTCGATGGCTGCTTTGGGAGAATGTGGGCCAGTGTTGCCAGAGCTGGCATTTCAAGATGGATCCAGATCCAGATTTCAGTGTGAAACTTCCTGATTTTGAAGTGGTAGTAACTAATTAGCGTTTTTGAAAAACAACATACCATCTGTGGGCATCTTCAGCAGTGCTTGCTGTGGTTTATGGGAAGCTCCGGAGAGATTTTAAGCTAGGAAAAATCACAATCTGATCTGTGTTTTGAAAGGTCCTTCTGGGCCTATAGAGAACAGACTAGATGGGGAGAGCAGGGAGGTAGGGGCTGGTGAAGGAGCCTCTGCCTGGATGCCCAGGTCCAGGCAGTGCTGATGGGAGTGCGTTGGGCAGGCATTGGAGTGGGAGGTCTGAGAAAAGTAGACAAAAGGAAGGAGAGCTCCTGGGAGCCTGGGAGGCTATGATTGGGTGAGGGAACAAGAGATGGCTGAGTGAGCTGGGTATCTAGGGCCTAGCCAATGAGTGGAGAGGGGCTGTGTGACGGTGGTATGGGAACCAGAGGTGCCACCGCTAAGGCCTTTCCTGCCATGGAAGGAACATGGGAGCTGTAAGACGGTCCCTGTTGGGGGTGGGGTGCCCAGGACATTGTCCCTTTGGTTTCCAGGGTGATCAGCGGGATGAGGAGGAAGAGACCCAGATGAAAAAGTCAGAATCGGAGGTGGAGGTAAGAGCTGAGAGGACAGAGCAGGTGTGGCGGGCAGGGCTGCCTCAGCCTGGCCAGGCCCTGACCTTAGCCTTGTGCCCCCAGGAGGCAGCAGCCATCATTGCCCAGCGGCCTGACAACCCTCGTGAGTTCTTTAAGCAGCAGGAACGAGTCGCATCAGCCTCCGCAGGCAGCTGTGATGTGCTCTCGCCCTTCAACCACCGGCCAGGTAGTCCCAGCCCCCCGCCCCATCCTGCTCCCCACTCCTCAAGTTTGGGCCCTGAGCCTCTTTGGGACTGTTTCTTGGAAGGGAAGCCTTGACCAAGGACCCCTTGGAGAAGGCCGAGGAGGCCCATCGAATGTGCTTCCATCCGCCACTTCCCAGGTGGCAGGACCCTGAGACAGGCAGGGCCATGAGCAAGTTGATGTTAGGCCTTGGCTGTTCAGTGGGTGGTGCCAGGTGGGCAGCTCTGGTGTGGGCTGAGGCACCTCACTGGCCACATAGAAGGCAGCAGGGAGTGACCCTGCGAGGCTTGAACTAGGTCTGACCTGGAGGGCTGGTGGGTGCATTTGGGGCAGGCTCTGGCCCTGATACTGAGTCGTTGGAGCGGCCTGGGCCTGCACCGGGGCTCCCTGTTCAGCTTCTCCCTACACAGCTTCTGCCTCCCGCTCCAGCATCCTTCCCCTCCCTGTCTGTTGGTCCCAGTGTGTTGGCACCTGCTGCTGTGTACGAGTCCTCTGCTGGTGTTGGGGGGTCGGGGGGGCAGGCTGTCACCAGCTCATTAGCTGCTGAGAGAGGCTGGCTGTGTATGGCAGGCTCTTTGCTGTGTGGCTGGTACTGGCGGGAGTGGGCTGATGCTTGGGGCTGTGGCCCAGCTTGGCTGAATGTGTGCCTTGGATGTGGGCAGCTTGGACATCCAGGGCCAGCACCGGGGGTGGCGGGTGAGGCCTCTGCACAGGGTGGGGGAGACTGACCCTCTCTTGTCCTCTGTCTCTTTCTCTGTCTGTCTCTCTCGGCAGGTCGTCCGTACTGCCCTTTCATAAAGGCATCGGACAGTGGGCCTTCCTCCTCCTCCTCTTCCTCCTCCTCCCCTCCACGGACTCCCTTTCCCTATATCACCTGTCACCGCACCCCAAACCTCTCTTCCTCCCTCCCATGTAGGTAGCAGCCCCAGGCCTCGGCGGGGGGGTAAGGAGGGCCCCGCTTCCCAGCAGCCCCCTCTGCCCTCGCTCCCCCGCCCCAGCCTGACCGCTGATCACTGGAGTTTGTTCCTAGAGCAGGTACTGCCTGCCTCTTTCCCCTGGCCCTGCAGGGGCACTGGCCCCCAGGGGCCTGGCTTTCAGGGTTTGGAGCTGTGGTCTGGCCCCTGGGGGGTCTGGGGAACTCACAGCCTTCACCCAGACTCCAGAGAGGAGGTGCTGGCCAGGCCCCAAGGTGAACAGTCCTGGTCCCATCCAGCTCCCCAGCTTTTGCTGACCAGCCTGGGGCTTTGTTCCGCAGGCAGCCACTTGGACAGCCACCGGAGGATGGCTCCCACCCCCATCCCTGCCCGGAGCCCATCCGACTCCAGCACGGCCTCCACCCCTATTGCTGAGCAGACCGAGCGGGCCATGGATGAGGTCACGTCCTCGCAGCCTCCACCACTGTCGCCACCGCTACCACCAGCCCAAGGTGAGTGAGGGGCCCCCACCTGCCTGGGGCCTCCCATGGGCCTCCCATCAGCCCCTTGGCTGGGAACCCCGGGTTGCCATGGTAACAGCTCCCCAGGGATCTGGGCTGCCCATCAAGACTGCACTGCCCTAGTGGTTGCTGTGGCTGGGGAGGAGCCCTGGCACTGCAGTCAGACCTGCTCCCTCTGAGCCACAGGGCCTCAGCTCTGAAGGTGGCTCAGGCCTGCCTTCGTCCGGGTGCTGAGTGGGGTAAAGCCAGCCCGGTGCAGCTGGTGCAGCATGCTTGTCCTCTGGCCCCGCTGGAGGGTGCCCCCTGTGGACGGCTGAGTGGAGTTCTGTCCTGGAGTCCCTGACTCCCTCACTCCTCAGGGGCGGCTAGGGTATGGTAAGGTCTCCATCCCTTCCCAGAGGGAGTGGATCATAGCTCTCTCCTTGATCTGTACTGTCACAGAGACCCAGGAGCCCAGCCTCTGCCCGGAGAGTAAAGAGACCAGCAAGGAAGCCCAAGCAGCAGCCCCTCAGGCATCGGCAGGCCTTGTGGAGGAGCCCCTTCTGGCAAGGGAGCCTCCCCGGGGGCAGGACAGCCCCACCGAGGACTTGATGTTCATAAAGTCTCCAGACCAGGCTGTCCTGGCCACCCCTCTGGAGCTTCCCCCAGCCGACACCACTGCAGCAGACACCTCTGTAGCTGATGCACCTGACACCATTGAAACCGACACTGCTGCCGTTGACACCACTGTTGCCAACACAGCCGCCCCCGCTACTGCCAGCCTTATTGACCTATGGCCTGGCAACGGGGAAGAGGCCTCCGCACCCCACGCCAGGGAGCCACAGGCCGAGCCCAGGGCCCCCACACCACCCTCGAGTGCCAAGGTCACTCTGGCGGAGGTGCCCCTGCTGGACCAGGTGGCTCAGGAGCCCCTGCCACCAGCAGGTGATGGCTGTGCCAACCTTCTCAATTTTGATGAGCTGCCTGAGCCACCAGCCACCTTCTGCGACCCAGAGAAGGAAGCAGAAGGGGAGCCCCTGGCCGCCCCCCAGGCCCCAACTCTGCCCTCCGCTCTAGAGGAACTAGATCAGGAGCCGGAACCGGAGCCCCACGTGCTGACCAATGGCGAGACGACCCAGAAGGAAGGGACCCAGGTGGGGGCAGAAGCAGCCTGGGGAGAGGGATGGTGGTCAGGGCTCCAGCAGAGCTGAATTTCTCAGGATTGCAGCAGCACCTCCCTTTTCTGTGACCCACATTATTGGGGTGAAGCTCCATTCCACTCCCCTTCCCTGGCCAGCTCTGCTTTTGTTCCCAAGGCAGGCATCTTGTGTTTCCCAGGCAACCACTGATGGAATCGCTGGTTGCTGGGGAAACGGGCTCAGGCCTGGTAGGTCAGCCCTAGTCCTGCAGGGTGGGGCCGAGCGACTTGGTACTTTCCCCTTGCAGGCCAGTGAGGGGTACTTCAGCCAGTCACAGGAGGAGGAGTTTGCCCAATCAGAAGAGCTGTGTGCGAAGGCTCCACCTCCTGTGTTCTACAACAAGCCTCCAGGTAGTCTTGGGATGGAGGATGGGAAGGGAATCCCGGCGGGAGTGCTGGGTTTGAGGATACGCAGGCAGCCCTCGCATATACAGACTGGGCCCAGCATGCCTGTCAGGGGCCGGGGGACACAACCATGGATCTGCTGAGCCGGCTTCTTAACGCCCCTCCCCCCTCCCGACACCCTAGAAATCGACATCACCTGCTGGGATGCAGACCCTGTACCGGAAGAGGAAGGCTTCGAAGGTGGAGATTAGTGGTGCGCCCGCCCTAAGGCTGCCTTCGCCAAGGTCGCCCACTTCCAGGCCTGTTGCCAGACGGCCCGCCGTGCCTGCACTCGCAGCAGCTCCGTCTGGCACCCACTCCGGATCCCGGCCCTGGCCTGGACTCGGCCGCTTCCCCACCCACAGGGCCCAACTTTGACAGCTTTTCTCTCTCTTTTTTTTTTAAAGTGGATAGGAGACTTGTACAGTTGACCGATTTTCCTCCCGTTGGTAGTTGAGACGCTGTTGCAGATTCCACCCTCTCCCCGCCGGATCCAGATTGTAGCTCTTAGAACTCCCTGCTCAGCTGGCCCGGGGTGGAGGCCTCCCCCTGCTTGGGGCCTGGTGCGGGGGAGCTCTGGTGGGAAGATGTCCCCCCCACCTCTTTTCCTAGTTTTATGTTTCTTGGAAAAATATCACTTTGTATTCTCTGTCCAGGGCTTCAGATATTTTGCACGAATTTTAAAACATGGCAATAAATGGCTCGCGGGCTCTGGCTCCCTGGGACCCCCTCCCTACCCTTCTCTTGACCCCTCCCTGCCTGGCCCAAAGGAAGTAGCAGGCCCAGCTGGGGCCCCTCGGCTTCCCTGCCCTCTCCTGCCCCCTCCTGCTGGGCAGGTCCCAGGCTGGAGGCCCGCAGATCCATTCAGGACAGGGCTATGGTGGGGGGGGGCTTGGGTGGCCCCTCCCTGACTCCTCCCTCTTCGCTTGGGTTCCTTTTTCACGTTCAGTAACTGTTTTTTGGAAAGCACAAACTTCTGTAACGGATCGTGCTCATGTCTGTTAATAAAGAAATCCAGATCCCTTTGGGCCTGCTGCTCCGGGCCTCCAAGGGCTGCTCTGGGGTGGGCCGCCTGCCCGGACACCCCACCCCCAACTCCTCCCACCTCAAAGGCCACAGAGGCAGGGACAGATATCCGAGATTTCATGGCAGGGTCTGAGACTCCCGGGAAGCCTCGTCCCAGAAGGCTGACCTCAGGTTTAGCACGTTTGCACCCTCAGGCCAGCTTGTAGCCAGACTGCGCGTTAATGTCCCATGTTCCCCGTGGCCCCGGCGCGCCTGGCCACCAGCCCTCTTGGTTGAACCTTGGGCGCAAGCAGTGGCCACCCCCTCCGCTTGTACCAAAGCAGATCACACACCTTTATTATCCTCAAAATGTAACAAACAGGGTAAGAAATCCCTCCCCCCCACCCCAAGTCCAAGGGAAGCATTTAAAAAGACCCGCAGTCGGGCCAGGAGTCCGCGGGTGGGGCCGGGACGCCGGGCGCCCCTCTATACGGCTGTAGTCCTCCCGAATAAGGGGATGGAGACCGGCAGGCGCCAAGCTCCGTGCTCCAGAGGTTCGCGGCTGCTGAGCTCCGAGTCGGTCCAGCTGGGAAAGACCCGGCGGCCGCGGTCGGCCTGCAGGCAGAGTGCCGGGCAGGGCGGCGCGGGTCGCGGCGCGCTGGGCAGGTGCAGCGCCGACGTGTAGCCCCGGTCCAGGAAGAGCGGCTTGTAGCTGGGCGGCGGCTGCTCCTGTTTCTCGGCGCTGTCGCGGCGGCTCAAAAAGGGCGTAACGATCTTTCGGTAGAGGCCCCGCGTGTCCGTGAGCACCTCGTTGTAGGGCGGTGGCGGCTCGGCCATCAACACCGCCTCTTCGTAGCACGGTGGCTTAGACATGTCCGATTCCGCTGCGGAGTGGGAAGCGGTCCGAGGAATGAGGCCACCTGTCCCCAGCCTCCCGCAGAGACCTTGGCCAGCCAACAACCCCATGGCCACCTTGAGGGAGGCCGCTCCCTCCTCCTCGGTTCCAGGGAAGGCTACTCGGCGGAAGCCCCGCCCTTGTGTAGCGAGTCCGCCCCCTGCCGAAGACCCGCCCACCCTAGTGTCCGGGGAGCTCCGTGGCGGAGGTCGTACTTACCTTGGCGCGGGTAGCTCCAGGGCCGCGGCGGCACGGAGAGGTGCGGCGGCGGTGGGTGCGGAAGCGCGTGGTGGTGTGGGTGCACGTGGGCGTGCGGCTGCGCGGGCCCGTGGTGCAGCAGTGGGTGCGGGTGCACGTGTACGTGCGCGTGCCCCGGCGCCTCCAGGCGGGCGCGGTGCGGTGGTGGCGGTGGCGCTAGGCCTGGGGGGCTCCCGGCCAGGCTGCCCTCGAGCTCGAGGGGCTCCAGCTCGAGGGCGCGCAGGTTCTGCTCACGCAGTCGCTCCTCCTGGCGCCGTTTAAGGCGGCGGCGCAGAAAGCTGCAGAAGCAGCAGAGCAGAACGATGAGCCCCCAGATGAGCCAGAAGCCGGCGAAGCACGTGAGAAACGTGTAGGTCCCCTGGGACATAACCATGGCGGCGGCGCGGGCGGCGGGTCCTCGGCTGCTTCACTGGACACTGCGCTCCTCTGCGTGGCCTCGGGCCCGCGCCACGCTCCCAGGTGCCGCCAGCGTCACTTGGGGGCCCGCGGCCGGGGGCTGCCCGCGGCTGGGCTCAAGTCGTGCGCACGCCGGCGGGGGGCAGCAGCGGCGCCCGCTCCTTCCCATGGCGCCGGCAGGCGCGCGGACTGTCTCACCCAGGACCGCGCGGGACCTGTAGGCAGACACAGGGCGCAGTGAAGGCGAGCCGCGGCCCCTGACGACTTCCCTGCCCGTACCCACGCCCTGCGCAGTCCCGGGAGAGCCTCCTTACGGGAACCCCCGCACTCCCCGTGGGGTCCGGTGACATCACCAAGGAGGCTGACATCACTCCTAGAGGCTTCCCCGGTAGGGTTTCCCGCGATCTGAGACAGGGCCGCCACCGCCGCTGAGCTGGAGTCCGAGGGGACGCTAGACCGACCAGCAGGGGGCGCGCGAGGCCAGACTCAGGCCTTGAGCACGCACTGGAGATTCGCCAACGGCGTCGCCGGGGCACAGGGTACCCCAGCTTGGAAAGGGTTTCAGAGGCCTGCGGGCCGGCCCCTAAGGCGCTAATAAGGAGTTTGCGCGGGGAAAGTGTGGCCCACCTTCGAGAGACCCACAAGCAACTCACCCAGCGCTCGGCTACAGCCCTCTGCATACCAGCGCTCTCGGCCTCATACCCACCCCCACCCCTGGCTGCCCAAGGCATGGAACATCCTGGTCCTGCACTGTGGCCTCCTGCTCTTTGCCGCTCTCTTAGGGGCTCGGACTCAGGACTACGGCTGCTACTGCATGCCACAGACCCTGTCTTTGTCTGCCTAGCGCGCCTCTTTCCTTTCTTTCCTAGCGTCCCACTCTTCCTTTCCTTTAGGTGCCTCGACCAGCCGGGTTGCAGCTCCAACTCCACTTCCCCCGCCCTCTACCCGTGCATAGCCCTCTTGGCTCTGCCCCTCTAGCTCCAGGCCGCTTCCCCAATTCCCTTCCCTCTGCAGAAGGGAGGGAAAGTAGGTAGGTCTCAGAAGCTTGTCTTCCGGACCAACCTGGTCCTGAACCGCTCCACATGAGCAGCTTTAGTTCTACCTCCTCTTCTCCACAGCCAGTGTTGAGGGAGAACTGTACATTCTAAGGGATATGCATGGGGGGGAGCCCTAAACTCTGGGGAGTGAAGGGCGGCAGGTGACTGTTCACTGCTCTCACAGAACAGAAATGAACCTTGGGGGTCAATGGAATTAGTCCTATTTTACAGATGAGGAAGTGGGTTTGCAATTAGCTGTGTAGATGGCAAGTGGCAGACCCATCATTTGAACCCCAGCCTGGGCACGGTGGGGAAAGTGCTGCTGCCTGAGCTCCTTTGGGGGCCTCTTGCAGGAGTCCCATGGACCCTCCCACCCTCAGCAAGCCCAAGGCACACACGCACTCAGCTCTGGGGGCCACAGTGGGCCTCTGCCCCAAGCTGGGAGGCTTCAGACTAAGCTGTCTCAAACTGGTCCAGCAATCTGGGGAGAAGCCAGGACATGCTGCCCCACCTTCTGCCCAGATGGCTCCTGTCTGACTCCATGGCTGCCTCCAGCCATGTGCCACTTGGTGCCCGTGCCAGTCCCTTTCTCCTGGGTCTGCGTTCCAGAACAGACAATGGCAGGAACAATAGCTCCTCCCGCCCCCTCAACAACCCCACCATGAGGCTGCCATGGCGACGCAGCCCAGATAAAAACACGATGCTGCCAGTCACTGGGAGTTAATTAAATCTGTTGTTCTCCTTTTCCCCGAGCCCTCAGGAATTTTCAGGAACACTCTGAGGATGCTGGGACTAACTAGGGGGCCCCTTGGCCTGCAGGGCAGGAACAGCTCTGGGTCAGAAAAGGTACTTCTAGAGTTAAGAGATGATGGGATTTAGCTGATTTAGAAGTATCTACCAAGGGCCATCTAGTGTGTATCAGGCCTGGTTCTAAGCCCTTTACACACAGAATCTTATGTGATTTTCAACACCTCCTGGTCACTGGGGGTTGTGCCCACTGGACAGATGAGGAGACAGGCTCACAGAGGGAAATGACTTGTCCCAGGTCACACAGCTAATAAGGGGAGGAGCTAGGGTTAAAGCCTGAGTCTGAAACCACAAGTCTGTGTCAAAAGGCCTTCCCCTACGTGTCAATGACAAGCCTGGTGCACTTGATACACGAGGGTTTAGTGGCAGTGGGGGCACAGGACAGACTGGCCAGCTCACAGTGTTCCTGCTCTTCCTGCCAAGGCTCTGGCGCACCTGGCCACCAGCCCTCAATTGCCGTGAAATAGCTCAAGGGTAGGAAAGGACTTCAAGGTGAAGGAGGGATGGGACAGCGGTTCCATGGTTCACAAGGAACAAAAGATAGGGACCAAGCCCTCAGTGGGCTGGACATTGGGCCAGACTAGGGCAGACCACGCCTAAGATCCCCTGGTGCCATTGTCACCCAGGTGATAATGCACCCAGTGCACAAATGGGTGAAACTGCACTGCAGATTATTAAGTAAGCACAATTAAGCCTGTGCGTACCTTACTTACTGGGTAATCTATCCCTGTTGTCACCCCTCAGCCAGGAAGCAGAAGTCCTTGCTGTGTTTTACAGATGTGGAAACAATGGGTCAGAGAGAGAAAGTCTCTTGCTTAGGTCTCACAGCTGAGTGGGCCCTGTGACCCCAATGTGGCTCCATCACCCAGTTTGAGCCGGGATGTGATGCTAACCACAACCTCCTCAGCTGTTATTCCACTTGGTGGGGCTACACCCAGCCTGGAGGGGGTCCTGTCTCCTTCCCTGTATCTAGTCCCCAGGCTCAGTATCTTCCCATCTAACCTATGGTAGGTGTTCAGTAGATAAGCATCAAGAGATTCATTGAGACTTCAAAGTGCTTTACCTGGCCAGGCCAAATTTCTCAACCCCGCCCCCCCAAATAGTGCCCTTTTACCCTCCGTGCCTTTGTGCACGCTCTTGTCCTTGGCTGGGGAGCCCTGCGGACTCACACCCTGCCTAACAACTTGTGGTTCACAGCCACTCCCCTTGCCCACAGCCTTCCTGGCTGTAACCCACAAACACAGGCCATTTGCCCAGCCCCGACTGTGGGACAGGAGCCTGCCCTTCAGACGGACTCATCCTTACGTCCGCCATTTTATTATTTGTTTTCTATGTTTCTCTTCCGTTACCTTCCTGTGGGCTTTGTGAACGTTTTTTCAGAATGCCCTTCTGATTTACTGTAGTGTTTTTGAGCGTATCACTTAGTATCATTTTCTTAGGCCACACACTCACGGGCACCCAGCAGGGGAGGCGAAAGTGAGACACCCAGTTTCCTCATCTAGCAGACTGAGCTAATCCGTGTAAAGGGCTTGGAGGTGCCCAATAGACATTAGCTCTGAGGATGGCAGCTCTGCGCGGAGGACACAGAGAAGTATGTGTCCCCAAGGCACTCCCTACCTGAGGGCTGGATACCACAGATAATTCTCAGCATCTTCCTATCAAGGAGATGAACATTCTTTCCATTTAACAGATGAGGAAACTTGGTTCAAAGAAATTATATGACTCCTGAAGTCACTCAGATCTCTTATTACAGGGCCTGGTGCCTACTATGTGCCAAGCACTGCTATTGGCACCTGCCACATTACCCTCCACACCAATGACCCTGGCACCCCAACCTCAGACTTGCTGCTGGGTCCTTTATCTCAGTAAAGGGCATGTCATTCACTCCATCCACAAAGTCCTGTTGTTTTCACACCTCAGGGTAGTGTGTCTTCATCTGTCCACTGCCTGTGGTCCCCTCTGCTACCACCTTGGCCAGGCCACCCTCATCCCTCACCATCCTTGCTGCCGCTCTGCTTCATCCTGTGCTACTGCCCAGGCTGCCCACTCTCCACGTGGCCTATTTCATCCCATCCTTCTCCTGCCTGAACCTTCCAGCAGTTTTCCATTGCACTCAGGACACAGGCCAACTCCTTAACATGGGTTAGATTAGTGCCTCTCAAACTTGAGCAAGCATCAGAATCACATGGAGGGCTTGCTAAAAGCAGAGTGCTGGCCTCCACCACCAGAGTTCCTGACTCAGGAGGTCTGGGATGGGGCTTGAGAGTTTGCATTTCTCATAAGTTCCCAGGAGATGCTGATGCTGCTGGTCCAGGGACCAGAGACCAGTGAGAACCACTGACCTAGATCATAGCCTCCGGGATGAGCTCCTGCCGAGGCCTCTTGAGTCTCACCTTGGAGCACTCTGTCCCTTTGCAAAAAGCATGCCAAGCATTCTCTGGGCTGCCAAACATTCTGAAGCAAGCACACTTTCTCAGCCTGCAATCCGGCCCTCGCTGCTCTTGACCCAGCTCTCTCTACTTAGCCTCTTGGCAAGTCAGCCCCAAGGCTAGGTGAGAAGCCCAGTCATAGCAGAATGTTCTGTAGCGGCCTGTGTCCAACACCAGAGGACTGCCTCTGTCTACATCATCCAGAACACAGTCACTCAAGCCCACTTGTTGAAGGAGTGGCTGCAGGTGTCCAGTTACCTGCTTGGTCTTTTAGCTGTGGGACAAGAAACACCTCAAGAGCCAGGTCTGCATCCAGTTCATTCCTGGGAAATGTCAGCCATTCACCAAAATGCCCCTGAGAGAGAATCCATCGCCAAGCTCTCAGCCCTTGAAGACTGCTTTATAATGAGCTGAGAAGCCATACATCTCTGTGACTAAGACAATGTGGAAGCACACTCTACAGGCTCTGGAGGGGACAGGGAATCCCAGGCAGCAGGGCTCTGGGCCACAAGAGGACAGGAGGCTGGAGCTGCTTGTCCTTGAGCGAAGGGACAGGAGACTTGGACTAGGAGGAGAGTGTGGTGTGTGCTGAGTGAGGGTAGGGTGGAGGAGGGGGTGACTGCTGACCACTTTGCACAGGCCAAGCCTACTCCTAGCCCCTTGCATTTGTTCTCTCAGTAACATCTAGGGGTGGCTGTTATCATCCTCATTCTACAGACGAGGACAGAGGCTGAACTAGGGGCCAGCTCAGGTGAAGTCCAGGCACCTACAAAGCCTGCTGTTCTGGCAGGAAGGGTACTGCAGGGAGGCCCTGGTGACATTTTCACACCCCTCCCACCCCAAGACAGATGAACTGAGGCCAGAAGAGAGATAGATGATGGGCTTGTCCCTTCTCCCACAGCCAGCCAGGCGTGGAGGTGGCCAGCATCTCATTTTTAGCTAGGCCAGGGCACTGGCTTGGCACCCCATCTGTGGGTACAATTTCTGTGGCCCAATCAGAGCATTAGGTCAGGGACCCAGGACTTGGGAAACTGCAAACGGGACAACAGAGATTGGGGCCCCTGTGGTCTGGGGGTAGAGGCCTGACTTAGGCCAGTGTTCATTGTACTTAGCACTGGCTCTCCTCAGGGGGTGGGGAGGGGGCAGATACTCAGAGGCCAGGCTCCTCCCTTGAGATCTGGGACAAACGGGCCTCCATCCCCTCATCTGGGCATAGGGATAACTATCTGTACCTCAAAGGGACTTGGACACACAGGTGAAGGTGATTAAGACCCTTTTCAGAGGGGCAGCCTGGTGTAACGCCAAGCACTGAAGGGGGAAACCCAGGTTCAAATCCCACTTTTGCTCTAAATGAGCTATGTAGCCGCATCCTGGCTATTCCCATCCCTGAGCTAAAGTGTCTTCATGTGTAAGTCAAGGATGACAAGACCTGCCTGACAGTGCCAAGGAGGAGAACAACTGAGGAGAGTGTGGAAAGACTTCCAGCACCAGCACACAGCCTCCTGTGACTAACCAACACCAGCCCCTTGCAGCCTCTGAGGCTCTCCGGCCCAGGGCGCTACACTGTCCACAAGCCTAGGGGGAGGGTGGGGTCAGCCAGCAAGAAGTGTCACTTGACCATAGACCAGAGGTCTCAAACTCACAACCTTCAGGCTGGACACAGTTCACTGACGTGTTTTGTTGGTCCACAACCTATTTTTGAAAAATATTCTGATGAGCTGCCAACATTTGAAAACCAGGAGGTTTTACATAAAGATCTGGATTTCTGGCCTATCTTGAACATTGAATAATCTGGTCACACCAAGTCACATCCTCACGTGGCAACACAGACTGCAGCAGAGTAGCTCCCTGGCTCACCTCACTCATTCCATTCCCCTCCCCCGGCGCTGAAGCATTTGGGTTTTCAATCTCTGAGCTAGACTGAGCACCCCACTGCATGGACCCACCTTTGCCAAATTCTTTCCCCCACAGCCAGGACTGCAAAGTCCAAAAGGCCACAGAGCCCACGAACCAACAACTACGGTCTCGAGGGTTCCCTCCCAGGCACTGCTGTCCTGTGGGTCCTGAGTGGCCATTTGCCCCCCACTCAGAACCCACCCAGAAGACAAAGGCAGCCCTCACCATTCAGTCTCACCCAGAGAGAGAAAATGGAGGGAGGTTGAGAGGTAGGGCACCAGGAAACAAGCCCAGCAGTAGCACAGTCTTATATAGCATCTGGGGGAGCAAGAATCTGGTGGATTTTGCTGGAAAAAGGAAAGGTGTACCAAGGCCTGAAAAACACATGGAATTTCCTCGCTAGGGGAATGTGAAGGAGGGTTAAAGATGCTCCTCTAGAAGGCTCTCCCTTTCTTTTCTGCTTAGGTCACAAAGAGATGTTGTGTGACAGGCAGAGGGGCTTTGCAAGCAGAGAAACCCAGACTGGAAACCTAGCTCTGTCACTTAGTGGTTGTGTGACCTTGGGCAAGTCACTTCCCCTCCCTGAGCTTTGGAGCCTTCACCTCTGAAATGGGAATAACAACTTACCTTATATAATTGTTGGGATAATGAAAAGGTTATGGATGCAAAGCACTCAACATAGGTCTCACCGAGAGCAGGAGGTGGATGAAAGGAGCCTGTGAATAACTCCAAGCACACTCCTGTCTGTGGGAGACTCAGGCCCCACTTCCCAAGGCACCATCCATCTAAGGGCATTTCATGCCAAGGCCTCAAACACCCCAGACACTGGTCACTACCGAGGCCCAGGATATCTCCCTGGGTGGGAAGGGAAACCAATGGATGGTTATGGTCACTGGGATGGTCGGTCTGAGGCCTGCGGGTGGCTGGCATCTGCTGAGTCAGGCCTGGGAGTGCTGGCAGGAGGGCCATTTCTCTCCCTAGCATGCTGCTTGTGGACAGCAGGTTGGGAGGGGAGCCAGAGATCATTTCCTCTCAGAAGGCATTCTCTTCCCCATGGAGCTCCCCTGGAGGATGGGCACCTCCGTGTGGTGCTGGCCTTCCTGCTGGTCAACCTGCATGCCACCCCAGCACAGTTGGGTATTGTGCTCAAACAAGAAAGGGGCGCTTGTGGGCCAGACAATGGGCCGGGTCGCTCCCATTTGGCCTGGGCTTGGCTTCCCCGGGTCAGCAGTGTCCTTTCCTCCACTCCTGCCCACGCTGCTCCCACGCCTCCCCGGAGAATGGTGGCTTGGATGGCCTGACAGAGACCCATGCCGCGTTTTGGCATATGCCCTGACCGTGAGGAAGAGGGATGCGAGCTTCTTGCCTCTCCTCTGGTAAGGAGTATCGCCTTGGTGGGACCCAATTCGGGGCAAGCCATTTCGCGCGCGGGAGAAGGCCCTGGGTGGTGGTAGCGGTGGCGGAGGTTCCAGGGCAGAGACCTGGGCCCAGCCTCCGTGCTTCCTGGCGCCTACCCCCGCCCCCCGCGGCAGGCCCAGGGTCTGGGCCGCCCCCATGTTTGCAGCCATCTCATGAGCCCTGCTGCGACGACTGCAGCCACGTGGGAGCCAGCTCGTGCCCACGGGGCCGCTCGCCCCACCACCCCCACCGACGACGAGCTGTGGAGGCAGGCACACCCAGAGGGGCTTAAGGGGCGAAAGTTGCCCACCCAGGGCGGAAGGGTCCTGCTCTCCCTCTCCCCCTGAGCCCCCCGGCTGCAGCCCCGCGTGGGGGGGGAGGGGGCGTCGCCGCCCCGCAGCCGCGTTGCCGGGGAGCGCAACCCCGTTGCTGTGGCAACCGTTTCCAAGCGAACCGGTGGCGGCTCGCGCCCCACTCCGGCTCCCTTGCTCGCTGGCACTCTCCCTCCCTCCCTCCGGTGTGGCCCGGGGGAGGGTCCGCCCCGCGGCCGGGGCAGGGGTCCGGGACAGCGACCCGGGGACAGGGTGCAGAGCCGCCCGCGGGGAGGGGCTCAGCCCCAGGACGGTCATCGGCCCGAGCTCCGCGCCCGCCCAGCGCCGCAGCAGCCGCCGCGGTACTCACGGGCCCAGGCATCCTCCTCGAGCTCGTTCTCCTGGTTCGGGGCGAGGGGTGCGGGCCCAGCAGGCAAAGCCCCCAGCCTCGGGGACGCGGCGGCGGCTCGGGAGAGCACACCGTGGCAACGAAAGCGGCTCCAAACGCCGGGCTGGAGCCGCGGGGCGCGCGCACGGGCGCGTACACGGCGCATACCGAGCCCGGCGTGCGCGCGCGCGAGGCGGTCGGCAGACGGGGGGGCCCCCCCACCCCAGGAACACACCACCGAGGAAGTCCGCCTGGGAGGAGAGGAGGGGAAGGTTCGCTGCACCCATCTGCCACGCTGAGACACGGCACACACGGGGCGCCGGGCTCTCGCCACCGAGGGCACCCTTCACAGGGGTACGCACACGCCACGCAGCTGCCGGCAGCAGGCTGTGCAGCCAGGCACTGGCAGGCAGACCTGGTGCACACAATCGGTCGTGCACACTGCATGCCCAAGCCAAGTAGCTGAGGAAGAGAACCCTGACACACATACAGCTCGACCAGGAGAACACACACACATCCAGGCCCTGGTCACATCTTGAAAGGTACTACGTACACCCAGTGGGCAGACAGGCATGCAATGTGGCCCCAGCGGAGGAACACATGGCCTCCCTCCTCCTTCGCCCCTCCTACTATGTCCCCAGCAGGCACACATCACCATATACCTATTAGGAATTAGCACAGGGGAGAGGAGCTACTTCGGAGTCCATAGCCCTCCAGCCTGATCCATGGCCCCCATGGCCCCCGCTCACCCGGAGGGAACACAGGAGGCTCCCCTGCGGCCTCAGGTCCAGTCTGGCTGTCTATCCACCTCTTAACCGGGTTCCCTGTTTCTAGTTCAACTTCTGTACTGCACTTAGGGTGATCTTCCAAAACACTTCTACTACCGTATCAGCTGGGACATATTGAGATACAAGTGACAGAACCCAAATCAAATAGGCTTGTGCCCAAAGGGGAACTGATTGGCTCACATAACTGGAAAATGCAAGGGTAGAGCTTAGTTTTGGTCCCAGTTGGACTGAGGTGTTCAAGCAATGGCATCAGGCATGTATCTATTTCCATTCTTTGTGTTTACATCCTTCTAGGGGAAGTTCTCCCCAAGTGGTGGCCAGATGACCCCTCAGCTCCAGCCTTATATCCTCCCACCCAGCCCAAGAAAGGAGAATCTCAATTCTTTCTCAGTAGTTGTAATAAAAAACACAACTCTTCTGGACTCATTTTGAGTGTCCATCAGTGAACCAATCTAGGTGGCTATGTCTGAGGGAGGGGATATGTGTTCAGCCATCCAATATCCCCCTTTCTTTGGTGCTAACTCCTAGATTTCATCAGGGGAGTCCCTGCACTCCATGGATGCCATCTTGGTGGGCCTGTGAACCCAAGTGCTTGTCCCCCCCAAATCCACAATGGGCAGGTTTCCAGCCGGGCCATTCACTCTTTGGAGTCTTGGGCTCAGTAATACAAAGATACAAACAGGACTACAGCATCTTACTTCTGGTGGTTGGGCTGTGGTGAGGATGGGGTCTGTGAGTTCAGCCCCTATCCTTCTAACCCTGTTTCTAAGTAAGCTGGAGGACAGTTCTGTCACTTACAACCATACCCCTGATGGCCCAACCTGAGTCACATACTCCACCCAGGTGTGTGGTGTATGTGTACATCAGAGGGCACAGGCCCAGCTCCATCTAGTCCACATGGAGAGTGGTGGTGGTGGTGGTGGGGTTCCCCAAAGCAAACTTCGGATGCTTTTGTAGATGCTGGGCAGACACCCTGACACAACCAGTTAAAACCCTTCAGGGACTCCCCCACCCTCCAGATGAGGCCCCATGTCCTTAATGCAGCTTTCAAAGCTCTGTGTGCCTGGGCCTCACTGTCCCCAGCTCCAGCCACACCCTTCTTCACCCCACGTTCAGCCATCCTAAGCCATTAGAGGCCTTCGATCATCTGTCTGGCTCCTCCTTCTAGGCATATGTTGCTCCTGTGACTTGGAGGGCACCAATAACCCCGACACCTTCATGGCCAAAGGACCTCCCTGCTTGGCATTTGCCCCACCTCCACCTGCCACCCCATGGCAGTCTAGGCCCTACCAGCCTTAGAATCATCTTTGTCACAGTGCTGATCACACTGGGTCCCACTGTTTCCATGTCTGCCTCCCTACCAGACTGAGCTCCAAGCTGGCGGGGGCCTCATCTCCATCTGGGTCCCCAGCTCCCACAACAGAACTAGGTGGGGTGGAGATGAGCTTAGGCAAGGCTCATTGGGAAATGAATTCTGGGAGTTTCCTATACCAAGGATCCACTGTGCTAAGAGCTTTAAGGTGAGCTTTACCCTAGCCAATTTCCCTGCAGGCCTCTCTAGCCCAAAGGGAGCTTGGCAAGGTCTGGGACTCACCTGCAGGCAGAATACCTCAGGAAGCCAGACATCCACCTGGTACCCATTCACATTCACACATTGGACCAGGACTGGGCGTTGGCCTCTGCACACTAGTACCTACCTAACCCCTGCCCCCACCCAGCGGAACCCGGGGCAAAGAGGCAAATACACCTCAGGCTCCAACCTCACGCCTATGGACAGGATCCAGCTTCTCCACCTTCACGGACCACTCACTAGCTGGAAGACCTTGGGCAAGGCCCTCTCTTCCCGCCATTTCTCTCAAGTTGATGGAAGCACAGCAACCACTCCATGCACCAAGGGCTGGATGGGAACAGAGGCTCCTACTGCAAAGTCGGGGCTTGGAGCCTTCTGGCTGCTCTTGAGGTGGCGGTCAGCTTGGTGTCCAGCAGCTTCAGTAAATCCTCACAGCCACCCTGTGAGGCAGTGGTTATTATAACCTTTTCCATACAAGGGGAAGGCCTCATGCAAAGCCACACAGCTTGAAAAGGGGCCTTGAAGCCATAACTATCCAACTGCAAAGTGAGGTGGTTTCTGTGGCACTGGATGCTCACCCAAGGGCAAGGAACAAGGCCTTATGGTGGTTACAGGGCATTCCTGGGGGTCTGGGGACAATGGGAGGCTATAGAGCAGTGATGGTTCTGTGAGGCCTAGGACAGACTTGTGGTGGAAAAGCTCTTACCTCCGAGTCTTTGCATAGGTGGTCCCCCTGCCTGGAATGCTCTCCCCAAACTCCTTCTGATTCTCAGCCAACTGTCTCCTTCAAGGCCTGACTTAACTGCTATCTTCAGAGAAGCCTCCCTGATGCCCAGGTGGCTTGTCCCCACCCACCTCTGCCACAGCTTTCTTCCCAGTGCCACCACTGTCCAGGTCTTTGCCCATCCACATCTCATGCTTCAAGGGCAAAACAGAGGGACAGACCTAACGCAGGTGTACCAGCCCAGGGTCAGGCACACAGGAGACATCTAGGTAAGACACACCTGGTTGCTGCATAGCCCTAGGGCACTCGAAGTCCACAATGGCAGCCAGGCCACCTTGGCCTTGGCAGGGATGCTGCCAGCTGGGCCCACCTTGCTAGCCCAGCAGAGACAGACCCACATCCCAATGAGTACCTGAGGCTTCTTCCCACAGGGCTTGTCCTGTTGAAGCTGAGAAGCCCTGAGCCTGAAGGCCTGCCTTGGCCTGGCTGCTAGAGAGGCCACCCTAAGATCAGATCTGGGGATCCTGGGCCTTGCTGGAAAGGCAGCCCTGCCAGGCCCACCTCCAAGCCCTCTGTACTTTCCAGCAGGACCAGGGACGCAGGTAGACCACTGGAGCACCCGAGCAAGAAAGAGGCAAGCAGGGGCTGTAGGCCAGGTTTGTGCTCGGACTGTATTCACACGGAGACATCTGGCAGCTTACACTGGACAAAATGAGTAATAAAAATTGGCTTTAAATATGGAAAAACCAGGGCCCTGTAATCCCATGTGACCACAGCACTGGGACCAGGATGGCCATCACAGTTTGGGAAGGGCCTGGGGAGCAGGCAGACGGCCTCACCCTACCCCCTTCTCACGTGCATACATACACACACACACACACACACACACACACACACACACCCCACAGGCACACACAGGAAGGGCAGATTATTGCTGGGCATGTGTGTCTATTGTTACAAGGGGAGGCAGAATGTTTGAGGGTTGGCCAGGGACACCCCCCCGGCCTGGGCTGCGGCATTTCTGAAAGAAGTATCTTCAGGACAGGGCCCAGCATAAGGGAAGAGGCACCCTGGGAGCCAGAAGGCAGAGGCAGACCCATCTGGGACAGCCTGGCCAGTGGACTGAGAGTCCCATGGTCAGCCCAATCTCTGGTCACACTTTGGCACAGGCCTAGTGAAGCAGAGGCCCCAATCCAACTCTGACAAGCGTTGAGAAGGGACAGCAGTGGGCCCCAAAACAGGGTGGCTGCGCCCAGGGCAGCAGAGGCAGGCACGATTCTCACTTGGGAGGTCTGCGGTGGCGAGCACAGTGCTGGGGGCGTGGGGGCCCAGATGGAGCTGAACCTGAGGAGCCTTGAGTTTGGCAGCGGCTCCTCTGCCAGCCCCTGACCCTCCCAGGCCAGGGCTGGCTGCCCCAGGGAACTGAGGCTAGGGCGCCAGGCCCAGGTTGGGTAATAAGAACGCTCTGGTTGCTATATACATTCGTACAAACACATAAATACAGAAAGCCCCGAGCTCTGCAGAGAAGAGCTGAAGGGACGCACCTTGTCCCAGGGACAGCCCAGGCCTCGCCAGACTCAGCCAGGCCAGGGACTGAGGGGCAGAGGGCACTGGGGACAGCTCAGGCTGTGTTCCCCCAGCCACAACTCGAGTGGACAATGGGGAAGACCACTGTGCAAAACTGTAAACAGCGCTCAGAGTAGCTGCTACCGCCAACCGCCGATGGGGGCCTCAAGCTGGGGGCTAGAGGCGGGTGGGGAGCTCAAGATGCGTGGGGAACTCGAGACGGGTGGGGAGCTCTTCCTCACTGTCACTGCAGTTCCCACAGCAATCCTGGAGGGGTGGGGAGACACGGGGAGAGAGGCAGAGCAAGCGCCATTAGCCACCAGAGACGCCAGAGGCCCCGGACCTGCCAGGTGGGGTCACAGCTCTGGCCAAAGTGGCTGGGCATCAGTGCAGACGCTGCTGGCAGCAGACAGCAGGAAGGGCACTAGGTCAGTCTCAGGTTCTGCCTAGGCAAGGCCTCCGTCTAGCCCCTTTCCCTTGGGACGGTGGAGGCATAGCAGGGGAAACAGGGTAGCTAAGCAAGGCTAGCAGGGTGTGGGGAACAGAGCAGAAGGGGAGGGAGAGCGGGCACCAGACTTCTTTCACCCACATCTTGCCTCGGCCATGGAAGGGCTGCCCGTGGCTCCCCGAGGCCAGGCAGCAAGGCCAGCCCACGGGGAGCCCACACTGCTCACCTCTGGAAAGAGAAAAGAGGCCGTGAGCCCAGCCAGGGGCCAGAGAAAGGCGGGAGTGAGGCAGGAGTCCCTGGGCACAGCTGGAGGAGGCCCACTCCCAGCGCATGCGGGCACCAGCTCTGCCTCCCGCCCACTGTCCCCTAGAGCCAGGCTGCTGGGGTACCTGGCGGCTGAAGAGTCTCTGCAGCAGGCCCTTCTTGGGGGGTGCAGGCGGCTGGCCCTTCCAGTCCAGGTCTGGGGGGACCATGCCATCTAGCCCAAAGACATTCAGTTCCTGGAAGCACTCGGTCTCCACCATCTGCCACGGAACAGGCCGGTTAGGAGAGCCGCCCCGAGGGCCACCCCTCTGGAGCCCACCCCCAAGCTGGGCAGGCCCCACCTCATTCTGCCAGGGGATGGGCACGCTGCCCGTGGCAAACTTCTGGTAGAAGTCTTGGTCGGTAGGCTCCAGCTCCACACCCTTAACCGTAGAGAACTGCTCAATGTCCAGAACATCCTTGCAGTAAATGGCCTGGGGCTGGGGTGACAGAGGCAGCGGTCAAAGAGGATCACCCCCTCTCCCCCAACACACAGGAAGGCAGCTGAGCCTAAGTCCTGTCCTCCTGACACCTGCGGCTCTCAGGTGTGGAGTCAGAAACATGGTGCCCAAGCACAGTTCTGCCACTTCATCATCCCTCAGCCCAGGGGCTGCCTCCATGGCTGAACAAGGCTGCATAAAGGCCAGCCCAAGAGGCTTTGCTCAGGGGTAGCTGACAGGTCATGGCTAACCAGTCCAAATGGTGCCTTTGTAGAATCAGTAAAGGCACCCTCTCACGTGTACACGATCACGTGGGTGCTTGGCTTGGGGAGGTGAGTGCAGAGGAACCTCAGCTGGCCCCCTTGGTGGGGCCCCTTGTGCAGGACCCAGCACGGACTGGGCCCTCTGCCCTGGAGCATCCAGCAGTTTGCTCCAGCTCCTTCTCAAGCTTCACAGCCAAGCAGAGGATTAGTACAATCCTCCCACCTCCCCACCCTGGTTCCCTCCTGGGAGCCCACCTCAGCTCCAGAAGGCCACCTTCTATTTCATCTTTACATCACTTTATAAATCCTGCTATTACGGATGTCAGTTAAAATAATGCCATCACGCAAAGGATATGAACAGACACTTCACCAAAGAAGACATTCAGGCAGCTAACAGACACATGAGGAAATGCTCGCTATCACTAGCCATTAGAGAAGTGCAAATCAAAACTACAATGAGATACCATCTCACCTTGACGTTACTGGCACAAATTAAAAAAAAACAGAAAATAACAAATGTTGGAGAGGTTGTTGGGAGATTGGAACTCTTATGTACTGCTGATGGGAATGCAAAATGGTACAACCATTTTGGAAAACAATATGGCACTTCCTTAAAAAGCTTGAAATACAAATACCATACAATCCAGCAATCCCACTCCTAGGAATATATCCTAGAGAAATAAGAGCTGTCACACAAGTAGACATATGCACACCCATGTTCACTGCAGCATTATTCATAATAGCAAAAAGATGGAAACAACCTAAGTGCCCATCAACAGATGAATGGATAAACGCACAATGGAATACTACACAACAATAAAAAATGACTCTGGGAAACATTTAACAACATGGATGTATCTGGAGGGTATTATGCTGAGTGAAATAAGTCAATCACAAAAGGACAAATACTATATGAAACCACTATTATAAAAACACATGAAAATGTTTCCACACAGAAAGAAACAATCTTTGATGGTTATGAGGGAGGGGAAGGGTGGGGACGGAAAAACACTAACTAGACTAGATAAGTGGTAACTTGGGTGAAGGGTAAGACAGTACACAACATTGGGGAAATCAGCACAACCTGATCAGGGCAAAGTCATAGAAGCTTCACAGACACATCAAAACACCCTGAGGGACTGAGTTACTGGACTGAGGGATGGGGACCACGATCTCGGGGAACATCTAGCTCAACTGACATCCCGGCTGGAGCAAAGGAGAATGAAGACCAAAGGGGAAAGATTAGTCCAAAGGACTAATGGACCACAACTAGCACAACCTCCACCAGACTGAGCCCAGAACAACTATATGGCGCCTGGGTATCACCACCGACTGCTCTGGCAGGGATCACAATAGAGGTCCCGGACAGAGCAGGAGAAAAATGTAGAACAAAATTCAAATTCACAAAAAAAAAGACCCCGGATGCCCTTTTAATTCAGTACTGAAGTCACTCCTGAGGTTCACCCTTCAGCCAAAGATTAGACAGGTCTATAGGACCAACAATAACACACACGAGGGACATCCTTCATAGTTCAATCATGTATACGAGACTAATGGGCACAGTAGCCCAAAAGCAAAGACAAGAAAGCAGGAAGGGACAGGAAAACTGTACGAATGGAAATGGAATCTGGGGTGGAGAAGGGGAGACTGTTGACACATCGTGGAGTTCGCAACCAATGTCACAAAACAATTTGTGTATTAACTGTTTAATGAGAAACTAATTTACTCTATAAACTTTCACCTAAATCACAATAAAAAAGATAATAATGCCATCACGTTTGATGGTACAGCTGTTTTTGCAGTGTAGCAGTGCCTCAAAAGGTTAAACATATAGTTACCATATGAACCAGCAATCTAAGTACATACCTAAGAGAAGTGAAAATAGCCACCCACACAACCAATGCTGTACCTCAATGTTCATAGCAGCACTATTCGTAACAGCCAGAAAGCAGAAACAGCCCAAACACCCACCAACTGATGAATGGATGGGAGTCCCTGGGTGGTGTAAATGGTTGACAAACTTGGCTGCTAACCGAAAGGCTGGAGGTTCAAGTCCACCCAGAGGCACCCTGAAAGAAAGGCCTGGCAACCTACTTCCAAAAAACCAGCCACTGAAAACCCAAAGCAGCACAGTTCTACTCTGACACCCATGGGATTGCCATGAGCCAAAGTTTTGATGGTTACTGGTTTGGTTTTGGATGTATGGATAAACAAAATGTGCTACATCCACACAATGGAATATTACTGAGCCATAAAAAGCAACAAAGTACCGACACATGCTATGACACGGATAAACCTTGAAAACACTATGCTTAAGTGAAAGGAGCCAGACACGAAAGGCCACAGATGGTGTAACTCCATTTACTTGAAATATCCAGAAAAGGCAAATACATGGAGACGGAAAGTGGATTAGTGGTTGTCTAGGGCTGGGAGGGCAGGAAAAGTGAGTTTGGGGAGCAATGGCTAAAGGGTACAGGATTTCTTTTTGGGGTGATGAAAATACTCTAAAATTGTGGTGATGCTGCACAACTCTGTGAATATGCTAAAAGTCACTGAATTGTACACTTTAAACGTAGGGTGTCGCTCCTTGGAATATATCCTAGAGAAATAAGAGCTGTCACACGAATAGATATATGCACACCCACGTTCACTGCAGCACGGTCCACGATAGCAAAAAGATGGAAACAACCTAGCTGCCCATCAGCGGACAAATGGATAACCAAATTATGGTATATTCACACAACAGAATACTACGCAACGATAAAGAACAATGATGAATCCGTGAGACATCTTATAACGTGGAGGAATCTGGAAGGCATTATGCTGAGTGAATTTAGTCAGTTCCAAAAGGACAAATTATTGTATAAGACCACTATTATAAGAACTCAAGAAAAGGTTTAAACACAGAAGAAAATACTCTTTATGGTTACGAGGGCGGGGAGGAAGGGAGAGGGTTATTCACTAACTAGATAGTAGACAAGAATTATCTTACGTGAAGGGAAGGACAGAACATGCTACAGGCGAAGTTGGCATAACTGGACTAAACCAAAGCTAAGAAGTTTGCTGAATACAACCAAACACTTCGAGGGACAGAGCAGCAGGGGCGGGGGTCTGGGGACCATGATTTCGGGGGACATCTAGGTTGATTGGCATAACAAAGTTTTTTAAGAAAATGTTCTGCATCCTACTTCGGTGAGTGGCGTCTGGGGTTTTAAAAGCTAGCGAGCGGCCATCTAAGATACATCAATTGGTCCCAACCCACTTGGAGTAAAGGAGAATGAAGAACACCAAAGTCACAAGGAAAGTATTAGTCTAAGAGACAGAAAGGGCCACACAAACCGGAGACTGCATCAGCCTGAGACCAGAAGAACTAGATGGTGCCCGGCTACCACCAATGACCGCCCTGACAGGGAACACAACAGAGAGTCCCTGATGAAGCATGAGAAAAGTGGGCTGCAGAACTCAAATTCTAGTAAAAAGACCAGACTTAATGGTCTGACTGAGACTGGAGGAACCCGAAAAAGCACGGTCTCCGGGCTCTCTGTCAACCCAGAACTAAAGCCATTCCCGACGCCAACTCTTCAGACAAAGATTGGACTGAACTATGGGACATAAAATGATATTTGTGAAGAGTGTGCTTCTTAGCTCAAGCAGAGACATGAAACTAAATGGGCAGCTCCTGTCCGGAAGTGAGATGGGAGGGCAGAGAGGGTCAGAAGCTGGCTGAATGGACATGAGAAATCAGGGGTGGAAAGGAGGAGTATGCTATCACAGTATAGGGAGAGCAATTGGGGTCACATAGCAGTGTGTGTATAAGCTTTTATATGAAAGACTGATTTGAATTGAAAACTTTCACTTTAAGTACAACAATAAAAAAAATACCCGTAGGGTGTGAATTATATCTCAATGGATCTATTAAGAAGAAAAGTCATCATCACACTTGCTTTTCATCTGCTGCTTCTAAAAAGTTGACCTCCAGGGCACTGGTTCTATCTCTGACTTTGAACAATGCCAGAGGTCGTGGATTTACCTCCAGGTTCAGTGAGATGACACGGGTGTAAAGGGGGGTGTAACAGTGAGTAGCAGCTGCCACCTTGGGGCAGGCTCACTCAGTTCAAGTGCTAGCCCTGGACAGTGGACAGTCACCTAAGCCCATGATGATGGCTACCGTGCAGGGTTCCTGGGAGGGGGCTACAGGAGACGGTCATTCTGAGGCAGCAGTCCCCTAACCGGCCTTCCAGTCTGCCCCCCATACCTCACATTCCTGCTCAGCATCCTCCAATGGCCCCATCACACTTAGGGACCACAATCCCCGCCAGCTCTCAGGGCCGCACCTCCCTCCAGGCTCTCTTGCCCCACTGTTCTGCACCAGCCACACTGGCCTCCTCACTGCTGTCCATTGCACAAGGCTGGGGCCCGCCCCAGGGCCTCGATGCCTGCTGTTCCTTCCACCCGAAAGCCTCATACCCCACATCTTGGCATGGCCCTCTCCTCCATGTATTTTTAGACTGCTGCTTAACCGTCAGCTCCTCAGAGACTACCCTGTCTAAAAATGCCCCCAGCCACACCCTTCCTGTCTTCTCATTAGTTGCTGTCAAGTTGACCCCAACCCACGGCAACCCCATATGTGCAGACAGAACTGCTCCATAGGGTTTTCAAAGACGTGACCTTTCGGGAGCAGATTGCCAGGTCTGTCTTCCGAGGCGCCTCTGGGTGTGTTCGAACCTCCAACCTTTAGACTGGTAGCTGAGTGCTTAACCATTTGCTCCATCCAGGGACTCCTTCCTGTCTTCTTAGCCTCCCTTACTTTTCTTTGTCACAGTGAATGTTACCTGAAATGGTTCTCCACTAAAAGGTTTATTATTTTGGTGTATCCCCACTAGAACATAAGCTCCATGAGGGCAGGACTTGGTCCTGCTGACTTCAGTCTCTCCAAGGCCCGGCACATGTGGCACTTTTATTTGCTGAATATATAAACAAACGTGTATGGCTGACACCCATTAACCTGGCCTGCCCATCACCTTCCTGGCTGCCTCCTCAGTGTTTCTGGTGAACTATCAGTTACAGAATGAGGCACTGGTGGTTAAATGATAGAACTCTCACTTTCCATGTGGGAGACCCAGGTTTGATTCCTGGCCAACGCACTTCACACACAGCCACCACCTATCTGTCAGTGGAGGTCTGCATGTTGCTATGACATTGAACAGGTTTCAATAGAGCTTCCAGACTAAGATGGACTAAGAAAAAAGGCCTGGCGATCTACTTCCACAAACCACCCAGTGAAAACCCTTTGGATCAAAACAGAACACTGTCCAATCCACAACTGACTGTGAGCATGGCGCAGTCACAGGACCTAGTCCTCTTACACATGGCAGGGGGACTTTACATAGAGAAGCCTGCATTCAGTGGGAGGGACACAGTCAACAGGTTGAAGCAGAGAGGAGAGATGGAGAGTGCTGGCAACCTGGCATGAAGCCCTGATGTTGGCCCTACTCTGGGACTTTCTGGCCAAATGAACCAAAAAGCTACATGCTGGGCTTCAGGAAGTTTGGGTTGGGTTTCTGCCACTCGGAACTCAATGACTAGAGGACGCACCTGCTTGCAGGGTGCCTGGCCCACTGTGGGAGGATTCCACCCACAGAGAGGTGGTCAGCATTGCTGGGGGTAGGCAGTCCGTGTTCTACCAGCCCAACAGCCCTCTGCCCTGCTGGCAACAGTATCTTGGTTTTCCTTTGGGGAACAGACCTCCCCTGCTGGCAGCGGTCCCAGGTGGGGCCAGTGAGGACCACAGCCCCTGCACAGAATCAGCTGGTCCTGGGGCGGGGCGGTCCTCTGAGCACTCAAGAGGCAATCAGCACCAGCCTAGGGCTTCTTTTGGCATTACTGAAGTCCCTGGGAGGTGCAAACGTTTAAGCACTGGGATACTAATCGGAAGTTTGGCAGGTTGAACCTGCTTAGGGGCACCCTGGAAACAAGGCCTAGCAAGCTGCTTCCGAAAGGTCACAGCCTTGAAAACCACTAAGGAATCAACTCTACAGCAACTGGTTAACCCTAACCAGACCAGTGGCCATGGAGTTGACTCCAGTTAACCTTATTCTGGGCTTTTCACTTCTGGGAGCCCCACTGAATTATCTTTTTGTTTTGGCTAGGCAATTTGAGTTGAGTTTTCTGCCACTTGCACCAAATGTATCCTAACCAGTGCTCCAAGAGCCCCCACCCACCTGGCTCGCCCTGCCCCCGCCCACCTGGCTCGCCCCCGTGGGCACTCACGTCAGGCTTGAAGGGCGGCTCCAACATGCCAGCTCCCAGCCGCTTGAAGTTCAGCTTCTTGAAGAGGGGGTGCTCCTTCACTTCTTGGGCACCGCCCCCGCGACACCCTAGGCGCTCAGCTGGGTCCTTGCAAAGAAGCTGTGGCAGAGCTGGGGTGGTCAGGGCACCTGTGGGTGGGTGGGGTGCCTCGCCCCAGCCCCACCACCCAGCGCCGCTGTGGGCTGCTGTACCTGGGAGCAGAGTGAGCAGGCCTGCAAGGAAAAGCGGTCGGAGTACTCCTCGGGTACCTCCTTTACCAGCCGCTCCACTTCCTCCCGCTTGATCTTCTTCTTCCTCTGCTGAAAGGGCGACTGGCCTGCAATCATCTCATATAGCAGGCAGCCAAGTGCCCACCAGTCTGGGCTGAATGTGTACCGTTCGTTCTTTACCACCTCCGGAGCTAGCGGGGAGGCACGGAAGTTAGGGCAGGGTGGAGGCAGAAGTGGGGTGGGGGTGGGGGGGAAAAGCCCTCAGGCCTACAATGCCCAATGCACGTTAAGTCAGGGGTCCCAAACTTAACACCCATCAGCCAGATGGGCACCACTAAGTGGCTTGGTGGGGACTGTGGCAAACAGGAGAGCACATGCCCCATCCAAGGGCGCTGCTGCAGCCTGCAGGGGGGACCATGCCCAGTGCTCCCATTCTGATTTTTCAAGAAAAGTCAGAAATCCCTACTTTCAATGTGAAATCGCCTGGCTTATTAAATGTTGGCAAGCAATTCAAACTGTTTTTAAAAACAATTTAATTTAAACACAAATGTAGGCCAAATTGGGGCCCATCTGGCTAGCAGTGTACAACCTCCGGATTTAGTACCTGAGAGAAGAAAGAGGAAAACTAATGCTTCCTGAATACCCACTACTTGCCAGGGCAGGCATGTGGGAATTTTCTCCTCTACTATCTCTTTTCATCTGCAAGGCGAGCCTGGGAGGCAGGTTGGATCATCATTTTACCGTCGAGGAAAGTGAGGGTAAGTTAAGCGGAGGGTCTGGCCCAGGGCCACACAACAAGCTGTGAAGCTGTGAAACTGTGGAGCCTGGCTCCACATGCTATGTCATGGGGTCCCTGTGTGGAAAATGTGTCCCGAGGGCAACACACGAGGGCACATCTTGGCCCTTCCACTGGTCCCCACCACGGACGGATGCTCCAACTCTGAGCGTGGGCAATTCAGGGGCAGGGAGGGCCAGGAGCCCAAGTTTGAGCCCCTCCTCAGCATTCATGGCAGCCTCCACCAGGCCTAGCTAATAGCAGGCGTTTAACAATGAACGAATGACGCTGGATTTCCAAGTGATGGGGTCCCGGCTGAGTCCTAGTCTCGTAATCATATAATGGTGTATCAGGAGCTCCCCAGAGGCAGGGCCAGGATTGGCCAGGCACTGGGCCTCCTCCCAGACCCCGGACCCCTGCTCTGTCAACGTTTACTCCCCTCCTTCTTGCCCACAGGCAGCCAGTGACCAAAAACACCTTCAGGCAGCACCAAGTGTGGCTCTTTCTATTCTCTGAGCCACAGGAGACTCCCAAACAGCAGTGGGTGGGGCCAGGCTCTAGATAGTGAGCCTGGGACCCAGGGGGTTGGTGGGCCAGATGCAGGGAGACTCACCCATGTAGCCTACAGTACCCACACGGCCTTTGATGGTCTGGCCCTCAGGCACGTGCACAGCCAGCCCCAGGTCGGAGATGCGGATGTGACCTGTGTGTGGTGGAAGAGCAGGGGCCATTACAGGACCAGGCCGCCCGCCCCACCCCACCCCCTTAGCAGCACCCCAACCCACCGTGGTCATCCAGCAGGATGTTCTCAGGTTTTAGGTCCCTGTGGGAGAGAAGGGCAGGGTCAGAGGCTACTCAGCATGTCAGGGAGCCAGCAGGGGCCACCCCCGCCAAGCTCATTTACCTCCTGGGATTACAGGTGGAGTGAGGTACGGGGCCTGTTTTTTGACAGAGTGACAACAGATAGCCCAGTCCTCCCCTCACCTGCAGGAGCCCCGTCCCAAGGGAGCAGATGAGGGATCTACAGAGCCAGAACTCTCTAGGCAAGTGGAAGATGCCCCCATCCAGGAGGGGAATTCCCTGGACACCACCACAGCTTGGTTCGCTCCTGGTGCAAGGTACGCCCTCCCTCCCCTCTGGGGGCTGACTCTATCTCTCCTCATCTGTCAAATGGGGCTCCTCATCCATCCCGTCCTGGGGCTGTAATAAGGCTCAAGTGAAATAATAGCAACAGCAACTGTGCCTCGTGCTGACGCTGACGAACGGGGACAATAAGCAGTAAGAACCCGAGCTCTCCACTGCTGAGCCTGACTGGGGGCCAGGCTCTGGCCCAGGAACCGTTCCGCACTATCTCACTCAGTCCCTACAACAACCTGCAAGGGAGGAACAATGGGAATTACTGTCTTGGCTTCACAGAAAAGGAAATGGTGCCGGGAGCAGGTAGCCGACTGGCCCAAAGTCACACACATAGGGGTGACAAAGCCAGGACTCACACACGGGCCAGCCAGACCCCACAGCCTAGGCTCTGAACAACCCAAGTTGGTCCGCTAGGAGGAAAGTGCTGAGCCCGAGCCCAGCAAGGCACAGACAGGTTTGTGGCCTCACACAGGGGCCCAACACCCCAGCATCCCTCCACAGGCTGAGCCCGACCAGCAGGCACCCACGCCCTCCACACCTGTACACGATGCGCTCCCGGTGCAGGTCCTCCAAGCCACAGCAGATCTCGGCGGCATAGAAGACGGCCCGCGCCTCAGGGAAGCCCGCCTGGCCCATGTGGTAGATGTGGAACTTGAGGTCGCCCCCGTTCATCAGTGTCAGCACCAGGCAGAGGGCATCCTTGGTCTCGTAGGCGTAGGCCAGGCTCACCTGTGGCCGAAGGGACCTGAGCCTCAAGCAGGGGTTACAGGCCTGCCTAGTGGCAGGGTTGGCACCAGCCACCCCAAAGAGCCTTCTCAGTGCCACTCCTGAGGCCCAGCTGCTCCCAGGCCTGTGTCAACACCCCAAACCTGCCCTTGCCAGGCATCAAGGAGGATGGGGCTGGATTGGAGGGAGGGCGGGAAGAGACTTGAGCCTGGCGGACAAGACTGAGAGGAAGGGCGAGGTCTCCTTTCTGTACTTACTACAAACCTACTGTTCACTTTCTCCAGTATCTGCTTCTCATTGAGTGCCATGGCCTCGCCTTTCCGCTTCTTGATCCGCTTCTTCTCCAGCTTCTTGCAGGCATACATCTTGCCTGTTGCCCGCACCTGGCACGCACACACCTGTGGCCAGGGTAGACAGGGCAAATAGGTGCCTGCCATGCCATGCCCTTCTTGGGGTGCAGGGCTCTGAGAGGGCCAGGGCTGCTCCCAGGCCCCACCCTATCCCCTGGCCCTCTGCACTCTGCCCGGGGCTCTGGCCCAGCCACTCACCTCCCCAAAGCCACCTTTGCCCAGGACTCGGTACTGCCTGAAGGTGTTTTTAGTCACTGGCTGCCTGCACACAAGAAGGAGGGGAGTAAACGTTGGCGGAGCAGGGGCCCAAGGTCTGGGAGGAGGCCCAGCAACCTGGTGGATTCTGGTCTCACCTCGGGGGAGCTCACCTTTCCAGCCACTTCCACTGCAGGAAACGGTTGAAGTAGATGCTGTCGAGGTAGTCTACAAAAGGGGCCATGCTCAGGTACTCGTGGGTGAGCCTGTTGAGAGAAGGCCCAGCCCACCAGTCAGCCCCACACCCCAAGCTCTTGAAAGGTGTCTGCTCAGCCTGAAGGTACCACCCTCGGCTGACCCTCATGCACACCCATTGAGGAGGGACACACAAACACGTGCTGCAGCTGAGGATGCTATAAAGACAAGAGGCAGCCTACCCACAGTCACAGGGCAGGAGCAGGGCCTGGCTGGGCTCCCACCAGAGGCCCCTCCTCTGGGCACATTTCCATTCTGTGGCAGGGAGGGTCTTACCGGGTGAGCTCCTGGAAGAGGTCTTTGCAGGGCCCCTGCTCCAGCTGCTGGGCGCAGTTTGTCACTAGCTGCCGGGGAACCTCAGGGATGAGGTCAGGACCCTGGCGACAGACGACAGACAGGTCAGTGCATAGGGACGGAAGGGGTCCCTCAACTGCTGTCTACTCCCAGGACCGAGATGCCAGAGATCTCAGGCCTATGCCAGAATGGCTGCAGACCAGCGATGCATTAGCTCACCTGGTTGCTGAACCCTATCCTGCCAGCCCCCCTGGAGGCAGGGTGCAGCAGAGCTGCTGACAGGCTCACCTGGCCCAGAGCCCTGCCCCTCTCCCCCCGGCCCCAAGGCCCCATGCCCACGGTGTGCCTGGAGGAGCCTGGAGCAGCTCCAGGGCACTTTCTGCCCAGGTTATGGTCAATCCTCACCCCAGTGAGGAGCACTCTGCCCACGGCTGTCATTCCTCCCTCACCACTCACTCACTGTGTGGCTCAGGAAATTCTGCATTAGCCGCTGCCCACACGCCTTCCGCTTCTCATCAGGGGTCACTTCATACTCAGCCTGCAGGCAGGAGGAAGTGGGAGAAGTGCGCGTTTGGACTTAAGTGACAGGTGGCGGTTACTGGCAACAAGGCCTGGGAGCTTCACGGCTGCACCACCCTCGGGGCCAAGCCCACTTACCACCCCATCCAGAAAGGCAATGCAGCGTGTCAGCTCTGGGCGTGTCTCACAGAACTCACGGAACAGCAGGCGCCCAATGGGCTGCCGCTCACACAGGCTATGGTAGTCATGCTCTGCGGGCAGAAGAGGGAGCTCCTGGGTTCACAGACTGGAGACAGCCGGCCAGGCAGCCGAACCCACACCACCAAGCCCCAGCTCCAACAACAGCTTCCAGAACACTTCAGAACCCTCACCACAAGCCTGAAGTGGGCACTATTGTTATTCCCATCATGACCTGGAATCTGAAGACCAAAGACGTTGGCTAGCCCAAGGTCACACAGCCAGGAATCTGGCTCCAAACCCCTGGATTCCACCGCCCCTGCTGCCTTCTGGTTCACACTACGGCATACGTCATAATGCTGGGGCTGGGTACACTGAGAGGTTCCAGCCTGGCCTGGGCCCGGCCCACACCTGTTGCCTGCCTGGCGAAAGTGCAGCAGGAAGCTGTGGCTTCCGGTGAGCTCGTGGCTGGGCCTCCTTCCTGGGCAGTGGGTACAGCCACAGGTACACTCCTTGACCATGTGCAGGCCATGAGAGGGGGGCCTCAGCCTAGGTAAGCAGGAACTGAGGTCCTGGCTCGTCTGTCCTCTCTCAGAAGTGCCCTGTCACACTGCCCAGGCTGGGGACTTCTGGTCAAGGCTTTGCTGGGTTGAGCACAGGCCTGGGGTTCCCAACAAGGTCAGGCTGTGGGCTGGCCCCTGCCCCCACCACTCCCTCAGTCCCAAGGCCCTGCCCACCCTAAGCCTAGCTGCTCCTTCCCCTGCTTCTCTCAGACTGCCCAAATCCATCCCCTCACACAGGCCTGTCTCTGCCCTCCACCCATCCCAAGCCCAGGAACTAAAACCGGGGTGGGCGGTGCAGCTTCAGTCTTCCTGCTCACTTGACCCCCCTGCTCCTCTGCCCCAGCAGGACCCCTCAGTCCGCCCATGCCTCACCAAGGCTGAGCCGCAGCTCTTCACACTGGCTGATATGGGGGAACTGCAGCATCTGCCGCCATTTCTTGCTTTTGCCTTTGCGATTCCCGCTACCACCTGTGGGAGCAAAGAGGGGCTGTGTCTGGAGTCCTGCCACCACAATGCCTCACCTTAACCCTCAGGACAATCCAGAAGGCCTGCAGGGCCCAGCCTAGGCCCAGCCCACCGTGGGATGGACCTCTGGCCCTCCTGCCACATGCTTCAAATCTGTCCTTGCTGGGGACCAGAACACACACTGGCCCTCCTACTAGGGGTCCCAAGCTGGGAGAGCCAGAGGGCAGTGAAGCCTCTGAGGGGCTCCGGTAGCTTCTGCAAGGATCTGTTTCCCACTAGGTGGGAGTTTCCCAGGTGAAGAAAGTGGAGAAAAGGCATCACAAGTGGTGGGAAATGCATAAGTAGAGTGAGAGATGGGAGAGATTCTAGGGCATTTGGGACATGTCTGAGACGCCAAGGGCAGCGGCAGCCTGGGCCACCAGGAAGGCTCCCAGACTTCTATCACGGGGCCTCACATCAGAGATATTGGAGGTTCGAGGAAGGCTTGAAGGGTCGCACAGCAAGGTGGTGGCAGGAGGGCTGGCACTTGGGGGTTCCCTTGCCTACAAATGAGGGCTTCCCTGGCCTGGATACCTGCCTGATTCTACCTAGCTGACCCCCACCTGTAGCAGCTCAAATGCCTACAGAGCCAGACAGCTATGGCAAATGCGGGCCAGATGTGAGACAACAGGGAGTGGTGGAGAGTGCGATGCACTGGGGCAGTGTGCCCCTTCTAACAGGGGCAGCTGCAACACAACTCCAGCTGATTGGTGCATTGTTGCCAGGCAGGAATGCTGGCTCAGTATGGCCAGATCTTCTGATTTTTCAAAAGAAGCTGGAAATCCAGATTGTTATATGAAATACTAGTGTCGATTTTATTTACCAAAACAAAATATAAAAACAACACTACAGCCAAATAAATGAAACATGTCAGACAGCCAGATCTGGCCAGGGGCCACTAGGTTGAGATGGTGGAAGGGCCTGAGTCTTGTCTGTCTCTATACCTGGGTTTGAACCTCCTCTCTTTAGATCCATCTCTTGCCCTCTGTGAACCTCGATTTTTCCATGTGTACTTTGGGTCCAAATCTACCTCTGGAGGTGGTATGAGGATGAAATGGAAACTCTGTGTCCAGCAGCCAGTAGGGCCATGGCAAGAGGTTGGCCCAGCTCTACCACCTCAGGGGCAACCTTAGGCAAGCACATTCCCTTGCCTGGTCTCAGCTTCCCCTGTCTTCCCGGCCCAGTTCCCATCTGGTCTAGGTGAAGGCAGGTGGTGTGGGGGAGGCAACAGGGCTGGGTCCCTCCACGCCGGCTCTCTGGAGGAGGAAGTGTTGCAGGGCACCCATTGGGAAACCTGCGAGTGACTCTCCTGCATCCTGCTACAGCCGGCATACTCTGCAGCCATTGCTTCACTGTGAGTGAGTAACGACGACCCCCCCCCACACCCAGGGCAAGGCCTCTCCAGAAGGGGAACTCCTCCCCACCCCCGCAGGTCCCTAGCCCAACCCTCCATCCGCCTGCCTCCCCCCACCAGTTACTTCCTCCTCCCCCTCCTCCCGGCCACATCAAGGCAGCAGCCAAAAGTCACATGCAAATACCCTGTCCTGGAGATGCCACCAAGTCAGTGGGGCTCCTGACCCCACCCTACCCAGCCCTCTCTCTGTGCCTCTGGGTGCCTGGAAAAGGAAGGAAGACTGAGCAAGGGTTCACACCCCAGTGCTGCCCCACTTCAGCAACTCTGCACAATTGGGCCCAAGTTCATGAGAAAATGAGGCCCTGAAGGGAAGAATCCATTTGCCCAAGATCACAGAGCCTGGAGGTGACAGAGGCAGGATTCAAACCCACAACCCAAACTCCCCTCCCCCCCACTGCAAACATGCTGGGCATCTATTAGGTGCCAACAGTATACATACACCAAGGATTCCCAAATCAATTTAGGGTCTCAGGATCGCTTGGGAAGCTGGTAAAGGCCCTGGCCCCAAGCTGTTAGCTAGCTCATAGGTGATTCTGATGCAGCCACCATCTCAACCTGGTGACCCCTGGCCAGATCTGACTCTATGACATGCTTTATTTATTTGATTGCAGTGGGGTTTGTTTTGTTTTGTTTTTGTAAATAAAATCAGCACCAGTATTCCATGGGCCAGGGTTCAGGACTAGGTGACAATCAGAATTGCTTTTAATCTTCATGTCCCACTCCCAACCATTCCACAATGAGATGCTGAAGTTCAGAGAGCAGAGACTTGTCTAAAGCCATACAGCTGGGAAGGGGCAGAGCCAGGTCGGGGTGAGGGTTGTCAGTGGAGGTACCAAACTCTGGCAGGGCCATACCCCCCGTGCCTCACCGGCAGCCTGATGAAGCCTGTCTAATGATGCCCACACTCTCTGGTCAGGCAAGGCAGTGCCCTCAGCAGACCTGAGGCCTGAATGGCTATAGCCCTTCAGGCCTGGCGCAGCTCTCCCCACCCCTCCTCCCTGGCTGGCTGGATGACGAGGCAGAACAGAATCGGCAGATGCCCCCAGAGGCTGGGAGGAAGGACTAGCCCCAGGGCTTGACAAAGGACAGGAGATAAGCGAGGCTCTGGGCTCCCATGCCCATTTCCAGGCAGCACACCCCAGAGATCAACAAACATGGTGGGCAGGGGACCAGAGGCTGCACCCAGCTGGGCATCCCTCTGGGCTTCCTATAGACTGTGTTGGGGACATCCTGTGCCCTAGGACTGGCTCAACCATGTATTCCCTGGGTAACATGGGGCTAGTCCCTGGTCTGAGCCTCAGTTGCCCAGTGCAGAATGGGGCAGAAAGGTGAAGCAGATGACTCTTGCAATCTGGAAGCCCAGCAGAGTGTAGTCAAGCTGTCATGACTGTCCACCCCAGAGTTTCAAGAAGGGTCTTGCTCGCTGCTGGGCCCTCAGTACCCTGGACAGGGCAGTGCACAGAGTGGGTGCTCAGAGATTATGATACTGAGGTGGGGAGGGAAGGGGCAGACTGACCACAGGGCAGCGAGGACCAGGTGTGGTGGTCCTTGTCTTCTAGAACCCTCACAGAGCAGATGCCTGACAACACCTGGTGTAGGGAGCCACGAAGGGCTCAGTACACACACTGGGCTCACGAAACTAATTCCCACCTTAGCAGGTCCAGTGTGGCCCACCCAACATGCTCTCTTCCTTCAAAGCCCAGCTCCCACTTGTTTCTGTGCCTGTGTGACCCATTCATCTCTGTCTCATGTACTGAGGTACCTAACAAGTGGCAGTTGTGTTAGCAGCATATATGACCAGGAGTTTCCCCAAGTCGAGGGGGCTGTGCTACACAGAGGCTGCGTTCATTCATTCTCCAAGCCTTTACCTAGCACCAACTTTGGGCCAGTTCAGGCTGGGCGCCCGGGACTGGGCCGAGCACGTGTGAGCTCCCCTCCCTAGGCCATCTTCTCACCTCTCATCTGAGAGAGGGTTCGGAGAGGCTCTCCCAGGGCTCGGGTCCCACCCTCCCCACTTCCTTCCTTTCTCCTTCCCTCACTCCCCGCCGCGAGGGCGGCGACCTGACCCCCGCCCCTTCCTGGGCCCCGGCTCCCCGGGTCAGGTGCGGAGGAGGACGACCGGCCGGAAGAGCTCATGTCTGCGCGGGGTGCGGGGTGCGGAGCCCGCTGCCCTAGGGGGCTGTTTGGCTGGGGCGCCCCGCCGAGCTGGGAGTCCGAGCGCCCGCCGCTCCCTGCACCCGGGCCCGTCCGATCGCCCGGCCGCTCACCTTCCCGGGCCTTGAGGAGCACCGTGTTCGCTACGATGTTCTCGAGCTCCATGGGCTGCGGCGCCGCCAGGCCCGCCGGGCCGCGCCGCC